CCCTCGACGTCGCCGTCGGGGAGCCCCCCCAGGTCCACCTCTTGGCCCGGGCGCAGCTACTTTATAGGTATAGAAGCCGCTGTTGTCTCGTCGGTATCCGGGGTCATCTGGGCGCGCCCGCCCGCTTGTTTGGCGGGGTGCATCTTCGCCCTGGGCGCGACCGCCCAGCGGCTCAGCAGGCGACGCGTGCGTGAGCGGCCGCCCCCCCTGATCTCCTTCTCATTCGATCTTCTCGTCCGCCGCCTGAGTCGATGCTGGATGGGGGCGCAGCAGGCTCGGTCCTGGAACAGCCTGCGGTCTGCCCCGTCGCATTTAGCTCGCGCTGGCGGGAAGTCCCCCAGCCCCTGTCCGCGCTCGCCTCATCAAAATATCCAGCCGCTGGTAGTGCCAGTCCTGGTTTTAGACCTTGAAAATGCGAATATCGTCCAGATCTTCCCATATCATTTCCGTGTCTTGGCCTTCAGTATCGCTCAGTGGAATGTAATCCTCAATGGACGTGGCCGTCTTTCCGCCAACGCCGTCGCCATGGTCGGGATGCCAGAGCTTCTCGCCATGATGTGGGCTGCGAGACGGACAGCCCATCGGGCAATCACGGCGATGGTGACTGCGAGGCGGGCACGGGCAGACACGGCAGCCCCCGCGGGAACTGTTGACGCCCCGCGCGCCCGCCCGCCTATCATCACTTTCCCTACCACGACGCTCTGATATTTCAATGACGTGACCACTGTCATCACGGGAAACATAATGCTTCAAAGACCACCAGTGACGAGTCGATGATACTGTGTAACCCTGGTCGAAGAAATAGTTCGCGTCGCCATCGTCGATATCCATGCGCGGGCCTTGCTCGTCAAGAGAAAAAAATACATCCGTTGCCAGAGAATGAGCACCCGCTTCGCTGGAGCCTCCACCGCGCGCGGGCTCGGAAGACTGCGAAGGGCCAGCCCCGCGCGAGCAAATACGACCTCGACCAGGGCCGCCCGTGCACGGGCTATATTTGCCAGATGTCCCTAGCGCGCCTGCTGCAGAGTGGGTTGCGGTGCTGCGGCCGCGGCGAATGCTTGATTTGTCACCCTTTTTGGGGGCCACCCAAGCCAATGGGAGCCTTTTCCAGACCTTCCCCACACGATGAACGCGCCGACGCGAGTCTGCCCCCGCCCCACAGCGGCCCGCTCCTCATCTTCGAGTCCGAACACCGATAGAGCCAGGGAGCGGGTGGAGCCTCGCCCGCTCGTGCCCGAGCTGTTCCATTATTTTACTGCAGCGTCGGTGGCGGGCACAGTCTCCGCACCAGACATACAATCACCGTCATCGTCGTCGTCTGAGTCACGCTGTACGCGTCCGTGCCAACGCGTGCCGACCCAGTCCTCATGGGCGCGCCGCACAGCTTCTCGCTCCTTTCGCGCAGGTACTCGGCGCTGCGCTCCACCGACATAGCAGCGGCGGCGACATGGGCCATCAGAAACCAAGCAGTATTTGATTGGGATTGAAGGGGGGTGGTCGATTTCGGGGAAATCAACGCACTCAAAAATGTCCGCGTTGGACTGCTCTGAATCGATAAGTACGGATCCGCCCCCTTCCCCACCTCCCTTGGAGCATTGCGCTTGGAAATCTTTGTCGCTACCGCAGGCACGGCACGCGCCGCCCCCACCATCTTTCGGCGGGGTGATCGCATAGGTATAGGCAATGCGCAGCTGCATCATCACCGGCGGGCAGGTCTGACCAGTCGAGGTTTTCGGCACAAGCAGAGGAGACGGCATCGGCATCCGTACCGGAGTCGAAGACGCCGTCTTCTTGTTGGCTGGGTGAGCCTCAGAGGGCGGTCGCGCCAGGTGGTGCATAGCTGGCTGCTGACGGCCGACCCGTATGCGAGCCAGAAGCCGGTTCGTTGTTGCTGCTGTCGCTGGCTTCTTGGACTAGGAGCGTCGTAGACTCAGCGGGCCCTCTGTCATTCCAGGTGCCATTCGGCATGGCTGCGGTGGCGTCACTTCTTTCGGCGTGGTCGGTACCCGCGTGGCGTCTGCCGAAGATGCCCCGATGTCTCCTTGGGGGCGCCCAGCCAGGTGTCCACGGCTGCGCATTCTCTCCAAGAGTTGGTCGCACTGTCGTTGGAGGCGGGGCATCCGGTGGTTCTGCGATCGAAGCAGCTGCACTGCTTGGCCCTACCCCCAAGGCGCGAAATAAGATCAAGGTAAGATTCTGGAGGTCGGGCACGGCACAGCCCGCTGAGTCTGCTTCCAACCTGGAAATCTCAAATCGGGCCAGCACCAAGTCGATGCGTTCGCCCCTGTCGACCCTGAAGTCGATGCGGGCTGTCCCCGAAGTGAGCTGTCGCTCGCCCAAGGTTTCCAAATGTGGCACGGTACATGATGTATGTGACTGCATCGGTGCGCCACCCTGCAAGGTGACACCATAGTTGATGATGGTTGACGGCGGCCCCACGGCTAGCGCCCTATCCAAGCCCCCAAAGCCGAGCTGTAAAGCGGCGGCCTGTTAGGGGTGGATTCACGCTTCCGCTCGCGACGTTAAGCCATGCGTGTACTTCACGATCACAGTCGCGAAGGGTACGTTGCCTGCGGGGTCCCAGAACGGACCCAGAGTGCGCGTCTCATCTAGTCCTCCTCCTCGCCGCACGCATGCCACGGCAAGACCTAAGCACGCCCAGATGGTTCCAAAGATAGCGACCTTAACACAATGCATGATCATGCTCTACCCGATGATGTCAGGTATCGTATCATTGGATATAGTCGCGTCGATAGGAGTGCGAATGACTGTCTGGTCCGGGCGCGGCACTTGAATTGCGCGTGGCGCGTGGCCACGCGGCGGGGTGATGGACGTGCAGGAGCGTAAGCTACAAATTAGTTCGGGAACATTAGGAGTGCAGTGGCTGAGCGCTGGCGCAGGTCGGGTACTCCGCTGTGCCGTGGTAAGTTGTTACGTACATAACACCTGATGTAAGAGCCACCCACAGTAAGATGAAGCCAGCTCCGCTACCAGCTAAAAAGTTCAGGGTTGAGGGCTTGACCATAAGGTCATAAGCTGAGAACCTACTCGTAGGATGACGTCGGTGACGTATCAAATTATCTCACAACTCATCCCATCCCTCGATGGCAAGCAAAACGATGGGTAAGAGATAAGCCACGAGATGGAGGGCCGGGTCACAGATAGACGTGATCTTTGTCTGATACAATGATCCAGATAGAATCGGACCCAGTGGTGCAACTGGCAAATTGGACTGCGCAGTCTTGAGCCAAGACAGCGCGGGATATAGAGTTCGCTATATGGCCTCTCCTTAACCTCGTTTAAAATGCAACAGCCCCAAGAAGCCTTCCAAAAGACCTCCGAGAGGCAACCCAAAGACCCTGAGATGCACCAGGCACGGTGGCGGAATGGGCCACCTCATGTTGCTTTCTGCTTGCAGAGATGTGCTTGGCGAGCCCTTCCAAGGATTTTCCAATGGGATCTCGGCCAATCCGGCCAGCTAACCGAAAATATCAGCCAGCGTGGACTCCAAATAAGTAGAGGGGCAAGAAGAGGACGAGAGGAAGATGGGGGAGGACGGGAGGAGGACTGGAGGAGCAAAATCAAGCAAGCGCAAGCAAGCTAGCGAAAGCAAGCAAGCGCAAGCGAGCAATAACAAACAAATAAGAGCCAGCGATCAAGTGCAAGCAAGCAAGGGCAAGCATGAGCAAGCAAGCGAGAGCAAGCACGCAAGAGCAAGCAAGCAAGCGCCATTGGAAAAAGGATGGGGGTCATTGGAAAAAAAAGGGGGGTGCCATTGGGAAAATTGGGGGGGGTAATGAGCCAAGATTCCTATAGGACCTTCTCCTGCCTCCGAGACGCCCAAGATGGCCCCCTAGACGGCCCAAGACAGTCGAATGGCCTTGAAGACTACCCTAGACGCCACCAAGACGGCCTCCAATACGGTCCAAGATGCCCTCCTGACGGATGCCCCCAAGACGCTTCAAGTGGGTTCCGAGAAACCTCCAAAACACCACAAAACCAGTAATTGGCCAATGTGTTTTCGATTGTTTTCGCGTTCTCGCCTTTTCGAGCTTCCGACAGCCGACGGCGACCTCAGAGGCCTCCAAGGTTGCCCCAAGACGGCCCCAGAAGCTCCCCAAAGGGCCCCAAGATGGGCCAAGAGGGCAGCAGGACGGACCCACTGACATCCAAGACGGCCCTAGCCTGTATTGCCGGGGCGCACCTGTCGGTGCGCTCGTGACCTCCCCTGGGTCCAGAGGCCCCCCAGGAAGCATCTGCACTGAGCCCCGCAGGGCTCCAGACCGCTCCAAAACAGCCGAACCCACGACGCACAAGAGGCTCCAAAGAAGGTACCTGGAGTCCCCCGGGAAGCCTCACATCCCGGGAGCCAACGAACTCGCAAGTGTCATAAGTGGCAGCGAGCTCGGGGGAAGTGAGAAGGGGCGCGCCTTCTCAGAAGGCTCGGAAGTTCCCGGGCCTTCTGAGAAATTGTTGATGCCTTCCTCAAAGACGCAAACAAATTCTCAGAAGGCCGGAGCGCTTCTGGGAAGTCCCGCCGCCTTAAGACTTCCCCACATCGCTCGCTGCCGACCTTCGGGCATTCCTGTCCGACTTTGGGGGGCCATGCGGCCGTGCAGGTGTGTTGCCCCCTGCAGACAGCTCGCAGGGGCATCTCTTCTGGATGTGCCGGTTGGGATACACGAGGACTCAAGAAGTCACAGAGGAAAAAACTGCGCCTGGGTGGAGTGTTGCCTGTTAGTGAAAATGTGGATGGGAACTATTCTCAATCATCGCAACTCCTGGCTATATGTAACGTTATTTCCTGAGCTCTGCCACACGCGCAGTCTTCGAAGCAAACATCGTCTGCGCCACGCGGGGTACCAAACACTCTGGGCAAACGGCGGGACGAACAAAGCAACAAATCAGCGTGACCCGAAATAATCGGCAGCGCAAGTATGATATCTATTTGTATGTGCGCGCGCATGTGTGCGTATGGCCCCCTCTGGTCCCCACGCGGCCGTCGAGTGGTTGCGAGCCTGGACCTGCGCGATGGGGCTCTGGCGGGCACCTCCCTCCTCCCGCTACCTGTGCTATGCCGTCGGGGCCCAGGCGCCTCTACGATGGCGAAAGCTCGGGATCTCTTGCGCTTCGCCGACACTCGTTGCAGAACAGCTGACTCCTTGGATCTCCAGTGGCATCCACATGTGATCCTATCATTTTCGACTCCACAATCAAGTACCCACCCAGCTGCAAACGACGTTGAACCACCCGTGTGCCACTGCATCGGGGCGCTGACAAAACAAAGCGTGCGCGTGTGCGTGTGCCTACACATGTGTGCGTGCGTGCGCGAACTCGAGCGGACAGACGAGAAACCGACGCGCGGCATTTGCTCTGAACGCACCATACAAGTCCCCAGAAGTCTCCGGAGGTCCCTAAAGTTTTCTAAGGGTCTCTGGCGGCCAGAGGTCCCCACAGGTCCCGAAGGAGGACGACTGAACCTCCAAAAACCTAGATTTTCGAACCTCCTCGAACCTCGTCTTCCTTCGGTGACAACCCTCCCACCTGGAGGCCTGTGCCGCTGGTCGCACCGGCTGCTCAAAATTCCAGTGCGGAAACAACTTGCGGCTGCATCTCGGCACAGAGGGCAGAGCTGCGTTATGCATCATCCCATGGCTGCCACACCTTATCTCTCCTACGGTTGGTTCATGTCGTCAAATTTTGGATTTTGGTTTCGGGCACCGCGTGGATTTTTCGGGACTGGCGCGATTCACGCAATCGGTGACCTTCCGCCTTGAACGCCCGCGCTGGCGTCGCCGACCCGTCTCGAACCTGCCGTAGCTTCAGCCTTCTCCGCAAACTACATTGATACGTTTCTACCATTCAAAGTTCGAGCGTCCCACGTTCATCCCTGCCGCGCAAGGGATACTGCCATCCCATGTAACCAACAAAGATGCATTTCGTCGTCAATTATTATGAGATTCACATCGCTCCATACTTCGCATTGCAACCAGTACCAGTCAACAAGTTGTTCGATCACAACTCGTAACAATACATGTGGTGCCCCGTATGCTCGTATGAATGTGTTGCTCCTCTCTTTGACGACGAAATCGCGGAACCAATTTCGGAAATGCACACATACCAACGCAAGTCTCAACCATTGCGTGTTTGAAATGCACCAGCCCCCTTGGGAGCGCACGGCGACGAGGATGCTGCTACTGCTAGACTGCTAGACTGCTATCGTTTGTTTGCGTGTTTTGTCTCCCGAATCGTGTTTCCTCTCTACTCTCTACTACATCCCTCCGCGAAACACGCAGCAAGTTTGCCCCAGCAGTGTCAGCGCCCTCAGACCAACAAAAAAAAACAGCGCTGATGCCGAAACAAATGACGTCATATCCTTCATCGGCGTCCGCAGGCCGGGGTTGCAAAACTGGCTGTACGTTTCGCCAAACAATATAGGAGGGCGCGCAGCATCACACAACAAACATGACACTGGGGGGCGGTGCACCTCGGCCTCCTGGCCGCGCAGGCTGTCCTAGAATTTCCGTAGGCACGCCGCCACATCGACAAGAGAGCCGAAGAGGCCTCGATCACGGGCCAACGAAGCTCCGAAGAGGACCTCGAAAGACCACGACGGCGAAGTACGGCCCAAACATCCCTCGATAACGGTGCGAGATGCCTCCGAAGCAAGAAAAGCATGGCAACACCCAGGCTAAGAATAACGATTACTTACCCTTGTTTTTTCCGCTTGGAACTATTCTCTCTACTGTTGCCGCTTTGTCGAGACGACTCGGATACGAGATGGTAGAAGAGGGCTGAAGGCTTCGCCACCGCCCACCAAAAAACCAGACACCCCAGGCACTTAGGAAAGGAAAAGGGCTGGGCGAGCCAAAAGGTGGCTCGAGAAGGGAGGGGGGCCAGGATGACTACCGAGTGGCAAGATGAGGGATTGATAAGACCGGAACCCGAGAACCCGCTAAATCATTCAGGCGCGCGCAACCCCCATGGTTTACCCTTGTTTTTCCGCGGAAATGTTGTTTGCTCTACTGTGCTCGCTTGGTCGAAGCGACTCGGGTCAGAGATGGTAGAAGGGGGCGGAGGGCTTCGCCACCGGCCACTCAAAAAAACAGAACTCCCAAATCAGATTTCCAAATCAGAAGCTGTTCTGACATTGATAGATAAAGGGCTCGGAGGACGGCCAAAACCGAAAAAGCGACATCTCGCTGAAACTTCCTGGGGGCAACTTCGTTTGGACGCGGAGCCAAAACGTGAAGCGCACGGCCGCCCAGAGAACGCTTGCCAGGGCATTTCAGGCCCATAGCTGCGCACATTCAATCTATCACATCCACCGCACCTACACATGTGAGAGGAAACGCACAAAGCCTCGGGCAGGACAAGAATCTCGCGCACACAACATGCTGCGTGGACAGCGGGAGCACTCACAATCGCTGGGACGCCAGCTCGAACACCTTCACTCACACGACTTCAGAGACGGGACCGCACAGACTCAGGCTCGAGCGAGATGACTAAATCGCCCACGCGCGTGTCCCTGACATCACAACGCAACCGATGTATCGTCGCTCCTGTCAAACATGAAGCGTAACCACCATCACAAAGAGGCGACGCTCGCCTACGGACAGGGGGTAACGGGATTTGGCAGCGCCTGGCCGCGAAGGACAATCTCCAAAAACTTCTCCTCGCACCGCTCGGCCCGAGCTTGAAGCCAAGCGGGGCGCCGCATCATCGTCGACAACGGTCGGGTACCCTTCTCGTGTATCACCACCAAGCGGTCGGACTTCCATCCGCCCCTCTTTCCGGCATCGGCTAGGGCCACGTCGAACTTTTTCGCCTTCGAGGGGGCCCCCTCGACATCTGGGTTAAGCTGCACCATCCAGCGCGCAGCCACTCGCATGAGGCGCGCAGGTACCCTGGCGCTTGAGCAATGAGCTGGATCGAACGGGCGCAAATGCTCCACATCAGACACAAAGGCAGGGCCATGCCGAGGCGGCCCAAACGCACCAGGCCGTTGATGATCCCACACCACAGGGACCCTGCTTCGGGCAGGCGGGACGTAGATGAACATAGGCTCTGCCCTCTGCCCACCCTTCGAGGCCCGCCAGCTCCGAGAGAGTGCACGCGGACCGCTCTTGCCCGCCTCGGGTCGCCCGCGCATAACGCCTGCCAGCTGCCTCACCCCGCGGGCCGCCGACATTTCCGGGCGGCCCTGGTGGTCGATGTACTCCGTCAGCCAGTCGTCCAAATCCAGGATAGAGATGTCGGCGCCCCGCTTCACCCGTGCAATCTCGCTGAAAGGACCTGCCGCCTTCGCGAACTTCTGCGGCACTTCCAGCAGCGAGACCACATCCGAATCCATCAGCTCCCAGCTGGCGCCGGGCGCGGCCAAGGCCCTCGGGCCCTTGAACCTGAATACCTCGGACACACGGGAAGTGCGAGGGCGCGAGGCGGACGGGCCCAGAGCGCCCGGCGCGGCCCCCCCCCATCGGGGGCGCCGCTATTGCAGGGGCCAACGGACGCGACGCTGCCAACACCCGGGCGCGCTTTGGATATGGGAGGGGGGTCGCTTGCACGTAAATATTGAGCCAACACGGCGACGGAAGCTCGGCGCGGCGCAGCTACATTGATATCTATATGTTCCTGATCGCTCGCAAGACAAGACAAGCCACGCGGACCCACCGCGGCATCAAGCCGCCGGGGAGGGGGGGGGGGAGCGAAACGGTACCAATAACATCTCAACAAGAGGCAGCTACGTTGCGTAGAAACGAATTCTCGACAGGCCTGAATATTTCAAGGGCCCCCGCGTCATCCAGGGCACATTGAGAGCCACGGGGGGCGTGTTTCAAGCGAGGGCGGCGGTCTTCATCCCCCCGCCTTTTACACAGACACTCTTACCTGGCTGGGCGGATGGAAGGAGAGGAGAGAGAGAGGATAAAATATAAACAAAACATAAATAAGTAAATGAATGATACATATATATATATATACACATATCTTTATATATATGTATATATATACATGTGTGTAATTAAGAGAGGGAGAGAGAGAGACGGAACACAGGGAAAAGAAGAGAAAAAAAAAAAAAAAAAAAAAAAAAAAAAAAAAAAAAAAAAAAAAAAAAAAAAAAAAAAAAAAAAAAAAAAAAAAAAAAAAAAAAAAAACGTGAGGGACCGTCCGCAGGCTAATTTTCTGATGGGACCCATCGCACAGAAATGGGAACGTTGCGACTGAGAAACCACGCGCCCATCCTCCTGAGCATGACCAATATTGAAGCTGCGGCACAGCCAACGGCACACGGACAGCACGAGTCCGAGGTTACCTGCAAATACGACCTGTCGCAAATTACGCCCGACACGCGTCCTGGCGACACGCTCCAGGCCACGCAAAACAGCACAAGCCTCGAGCACCACGATATCCTAGACCTCCGCAAAACTCCAGCCCCCGACGACGTCATGGCGGGGGGTCTCGGCAACAGACGGGTCGGCCGCCAGGTCGGATCGACCGAGGCAGCCATAAAATGCAAAGATGTCGGGCGCGTCCGTGGGCCAAGCGGCGGGGCACAGGGCATCCTCGACGCCCAAAGCTGCTTCGCGTGCTGCGACGAGGGCCTCGCTCAGATAGCGGTCGGCCTCACGGCACCTGCCAACGGCCGCCACGTCGTCAGGACTGAACCCGACGCGAGCATATCCCGCACCCCACTCGGAAGCGTCGGTTGCCAACGCGAGCGGGTTTCAATCGGACTCCCAGCAAAAGACGAGAAGGATCACGAGGCCCGCCAAGACCCTGAGCTCGTCGCGCGCGGAAGCCCAAGGGACGACGGGCCTGTCATAGTGCTTCCAGATGAAGGGTAAACCGTCGAGAAGACGGACAGCGCCTCACGCCTCACGTGGCCGCCAAAGGTGGCATGCCCGATGATAGCCTCCACCTGGCGGCCCGAGATCTTCCTGTGGACGCCAGCTGCCGGCAGGGCCCATCACACGCGCCAGGAGCGCTTGGCCGTCAGGCGCGCGTGGCGCCTCCGACCGTCCAGAAGCGCGCACAGCGCCTCGACGCCCGAGTCCGAGACGCTCGCCCCGTGCACGGCGAGGCCCCGAGACTCGAAAGCAGCGCACACGTCCTCAAGCTTGCTGGCGACGACCCTGCCGTCGGAGCCGAAGACACCGATGTTGTCGACGTAGATGTAGTGGCGAGTGGCACAGGCCAACGTGCCGCGGAGAGTCAGGACCAATGGCTGGCCCCGGACACGCAAGAGCTCGGCACGAGTGAGGACCTGGCTGGCCGTTCCGCGGCGAACTCAAAGCCCCCATCAGGGCCACCCAGACCAACAGTACGGTGAATTTGCCCCCGTCCATTGCCCAAGGCCAGGGCGCTCCTGGGCGCGCCAGGGACGTTCATGGGCGATTTCAAAGCTCCCAAGTGCCCTGGGAGGGCTCTGGAAGCTCCCGAATCGCAACGGAATGTCCCTGGCGCGCCCAGGATCGCCCTGAGCCCTGGGCGGCTGCCAATTCACCGTGGCGGGCGCCTGGGCTCCCCTGGGAAGGCCCTGGGGGCTCCCGAATCGCCGCGGAACCCACTGGCGCGCCCAGGATCGCCCTGGGCCTTGGGCGGCTGCCAATTCACCGTGGCGGGCGCCCCTGGGAGGGCCCGGGCCCCACCCGAATCGCCACAGAACGTTTCTGGCGCGCCCAGGATCGCCTTGGGCCCTGGGCGGCTGCCAATTCACGATCATGGGGGTCCCCTGGCGCGCCCGAATCGCGAGGGACGTCCCTGGGGCGCCCAGGAGCGCCCTGAGGCCTTGGGCGAGGGCAAATTCATTGTGCGCCTGGTCGGACCCCCCGGTCTGGAGGACCCTTGGGGCGCCCGAGTCGCCAGGAGACGTCCCTGGGGCGTCCAGGAGCGACCTGGGGCCTTGGGCGGTGGCCAATTCACTGTGCGCCTGGTCTGGAAGTCCCCATGGGTCGCCTGTCACGCCAGGAAATGTCCTCGGAGCGCCCAGGCGCCCCCTGGGAGGGGGCCTGGGCGGCTGCCAATTCACCGCGCGCCTGGTCGGGCCCACCCAGGATTCCCCGCTGGGGCCCGCTTTGCCAGGAAACGTCGTTTGCCAGTCAGCCGATCGGGGGGTCCACCCTGCAAAACTTTAAGATACGAGGTTGAAAAAAAAATGCGAGTGGTGATTCGTGACCGCTGACCGATTTTATGTTGGCGCCGCCGCAGGGACCCGAGCAGGCGCACGGTGAATTGGGCTGTAGTTTTGGGGTTATAAGTCTCTTTGACGATCGCCCAGGCGGGCACAGGATAATCGCTTGTGCGTAAGTCGCATCATTGATAATGAAATAAGGCCCTCGCGGGCCATGCCTGACGGCAACCGAGACTCTGCTTGGGCTGGCCTGATATTCACGTACGGCCGGGAGGTAGTCTGACTGCGCGGTGCCAGTTAGGGCGCTCGCCGCCTAAATTGGTGGGTGGATACGGGCCAAGCGGCCCTGGGGGAGTTTAGGGTTTAACACTACGTATTAGCGTTCGCGGGGTTTGCCGCGGTGTCAATCGGTTCCCGCACGTACTGCTCGCGTCGGACCGCTTCCTTCGTAAAACACGTGGGATTCGCATCGCGACGGCAAGATTTCGAGCCTGCCGATGACGTATTTCTTCGTAAAACACGTAAGATTCGCGTCGCGACGGATTGCGCGGAGCTCTTCGGGCCACCTCGGAGCCGCTCCCGCTCGCGCAGGGTCGCACGGCATGCTTGGCGCGCCGCTCCGGAGCCGCTCCTGCTCGTGCCGGCTCGCACGGACTGCTTGGGGCCGCTCTGGCGCCGCTCCCGCTCGTGCCAGCTCGCACGGAATGTGATTCTCGGGCCGTTCCGGAGCCGCTCCCGCGCGCCGGCTCGCACGGAGCGCCATTCGGGCCGCTGCGGAGGCGCGCCCGCTCGCGCTCGCTCTTCAGAATGCTTGTCAGGCCGCCCCAGAGCCGCTCCTGCTCGCGCCAGCTCGTAGGAATGCTCGTCGGGCCCTTCCCGAGGCCCCGCTCGTGCCGCCGGCTCGCACGGAGCGCTCGCGCAGGCTTGCGTCCGGCTCGCTGCGTCGTTCGTCATGGTATCGTTCGGGCTGGCCAACGCGTTGTGCTTTTCGTCTTGAGGGTTTAGGGTTTAGGGTTTGGGGTTTAGGGTTCAGGGTTTAGGGTCTACTAGGCGTGGCCACGAGTACACCCTGACCGCGAACCCACCTGCGGTGGCCGTCAGTCCCACCCGCAAGCCACCCCACCATAAAGATGATCTCTCCCCTCGTTAGAACCAGAGCGAGTACAGCGTCGACGACGACGACGACGACGACGGCGACGACGGATGTGCGATCCAGTGGGCACGCGAGTGCTCTAACGGACTAAAGATTCTGCACGCATGCGCAGGAAGCGCGAGTGTGTGCAGGAGATGGAGCCGGTGTACATAAGGGGGTCGCATTGTGCATTGTAAAATACAAAAGATTCTCCACGCATGCTCAGCAGATTCTGCACGCATGCTCAGCAAATGCTATTTTCTACAATAGATGGAGCCAGTTTACATAACCGGGTCGGAACGGGGGCCAGGCACTTTATAATGTAAAATATAAGAGTTTCTGCACGCATGCTCAGCAAATGCAATTTTTTGCCGTAGATGGACCGGGCTCGCAACGGGGGCCGGGCACTTTGTAATGTAGGATACAAGAGATTCTGCGCGCATGCTCAGGAAATTATAATTTTGCAATAGATGAGGCCGGGTCGCAACGGGGACCGGGCACTTTGTAGTGTAAATAAAATACAAGAGATTCTGCGCGCATGCTCAGGAAATGCTTTTTTGCAGTAGATCAGGCGGGATTGCATGGTGACCGGTTTTATGGTAATTCGGGTTTAATCATTATAAGATTAGAAATTTATGGTTTAGGGTCTACTAGGCTTGGCCACGATTACACCTTGACCGCGAACCCACCTGCGGTGGCCGTCACTCCCACTCGCAAGCCACCCCAACATAAAGATCACCTCTCACCTCTTTGTAAACACATCGAATCCCACGACTTTGCTACAGCTGTCATAGCACAGCTTGGGTCACCAAACGTGGGGACATCTATGTGCGCGTCGTCTTTTCCTGTTACTTGCCCTGAGCCTATCCCGCTACTGTGCTATATCATGCCATAGCATAGCATGGGCTCGAAAAATTGGAAACCCCTATGTGTTTTCTCATTGTTACTTACCGTGGGCCTATCCCGCCACTGTGTTATAGCATGGCATATCTATTCCTTGATCCGCAAACAGTCGGGACCCCTATGTGCGCGTCTACCATGGGTCCCCAAGAAGTGGAGACCCCGATGTACGCGGCGAGTTTTCCTGATACTTGCCCTGGGCCTATCCCGCCACTGTGCTATAGCATGGCATAGCATAGCATGGGCTCCAAAAAGAAGACCCCGATCTTCAACGCGGGTCCCCCACGTGGGAACGTGTCCAGGCTCCGTACTTCCAGTTGTACTAGTGTCGCCTTCCATTTGTTGGCTGCTCCTGCTGCAGTGCTATCCCGCCACCGTCCTATAGCATGGCATTGCCCAGCATGGGTCCCCGAAAAGTGAGGGCTCCTATGTGCGCGTCGTCTTGTACTGTTACTTGACCTATGCCTACCCCGCCACTGTGCTATAGCATGGCGTAGCACAGCATGGGTACCCAAAAAGTGGGGACCCCGATG